TAGTATCCTTCAGGAGTGATGAAAAGTTTCTGGAATTAAATAGAGGTGATGAATGCACAGCTCTGTGAATATACTGAGTCAATGTACTACAGGCTTTAAGATGGTACATTATAAAAATAAAGGGTGCAATATATACTTTGAAACCATAGTTCAACAATGAAAAACTTAAGGAAAAAAATTACAATAAGTTGCATCAGTACAAAGGAGTGATAGTTCCAAACAAACAAAATAAGTAATGACATTGAGTATGTGAGAAGACAAAAACATCTTTAGCTTTGGGGCTGGAGAGATGGCTCAGCGGTTAAGAACACTGGCTGTTCTTGCAGAAGACCCATTTGAATCCCAGCACCCACAAAGCAGCTAACAACTGTAACTCCAGTTCCCATAGCCTCTTCTGTCCTCCACGGGCATTGCACAACACAGGTGCACTTACCTACATGCAGGCAATGCACGCATACACATAAAATAAAAATAAAAACATTTTTAAAAAATCTTCAGCTTCTGTGGATTTTCTGTCTCCAGTATGTTCAGAAATAAGAAACAACATCTTCAAAGTAAAGCAGAAAAACAAACTTAGACATTATGCCAGAATGGAGTTAAAATGGGCTTAGGCCTATCATACCAAATAATGGAAGAGTAACAAAAATCTTAACCTAAAATCACTGAGGATCAGAAATGTGGAGATTGGTTATATTCAAAACCCTGGGTCAGATGAAAGATAATTTCTAAAGAGAAAAATAGGCAGTTTCTAGAAATTCCAGAGTCAACTGATTCATTACAAATTCAGTACAAGACTAAACAGAATGTTTATGAATTTAAGAAAGGAAAATGAATCCATAAAAATGAGAAGACTCATTATGAACATGTGAAACTAAATTCACTCCAATTTCTCCTTTAAAAGGGTCACTTCTCCAGGCATGGTGGCACATGCCTTTAATCCCAGCACTTGGTAGGCAGAGGCAGGTGGATCTCTGTGAGTTCAAGCCAGGACTGGTCTACAAGTGAGTTCCAGGCCTGCTGGGGCTATAGGGAGACCCTGTCTCAAAAGACAAAAAAAAAAAAAAAAAAAAAAAAAAAAAAATTAGCACACAAAAACAAAGATAGGGAGACAGTTTAACAACTGATATAGAAAACACCAGGTGGAGAGGCTCACACTACCAGCACATATTAAACAACAGCTTGAAACATGATAGGCTCTTGGCAGTGCAAGCCCATAATCTCAATACTTGGGAGACTAAGGTTGAGAGGACTGTCAGGAGTTCAAGGCCAGCCTGGGCTCTATAGTAAGAACCAGGCTAGCCTGGGCTACAGTGACAGATCATCTTAACTAATTAATAGTATTCAGTTACTGTTTTAAAAGTCTTTTTTTATTTTTATTTATTTACTTATTTATTTTTTGTCTTTTTGAGACAGGGTCTCCCTGTAGCCCCGGCTATCCTGGAACTCACTATGTAGACCAGGCTGGCCTCGAACTCACAGAGATCCGCCTGCCTCTGCCTCCCAAGTGCTGGGATTAAAGGCGTGCACCACTACGGCCAGCATAAAAACAGTCTTTTTTTAAAAGTACCTTTCAGCTCAAGTAGATTATATACACAGGGTCTGATTCAGAATCACCTACAATGGGAGCACAATTCCAGATCCATATCTAATGACAAGGAGCAACTAGAGTTACTTAAGAAAAAAGTAGTCAGCTGGGCATAGTTTAAAGGCCCATGCCTTTAAACCCAGAACTTGGGCAGCAGAGGCAGGTGGAGCTCTGTGAGTTCTGAGGACACTCTGCTCTACAGAGCGAGTTCTAGGTGAGTCAGGGTTACATAGTGAGACCCTGTCTTAATAGTAAGAGCCTAAAGATCAGAAAATTACATTATCTAAAAACTTATTAAACTGAGGTTTACTTTGTAGAAGAAAATGCTCAGGATATGGTGGGAAAAAGGGCCTCCCCAAGGGCATGCTAGTAGTCTTCAAATACTTAAAGGGGCTCATGTGGGAAAGGTAATGTTATATTTGGAAAATGAAAAACACGGTGGGAACAGCTTATGAAGAGCTGTATTCTAATCTTAACTCCATCATTTACAGCGTGTTATTTGATACTGAGACAGATTAAGTTTCCTTATACCGAAACTGATACCTACCTTATAAATGTATAAAAGCCAAATCTAATTAAATGCAAAAGTTTGTAAGCTTGCTTAGTGGCACTGCCTGGTACACAGCAACGTTAATTCTCTTCCGTAGACTTTTCTGAGTTATTGTAGAGCAATGTTCTTCAAAATGAAAGCTGCAACCCACTAGTGGTCACCAAATCAATTTAGTGGGTAGTAACAAGCATATTTTTCCCCTAATGAAATAGAACAAAATAGAAAATACTAGTGTTCCACTCACAGTTAAAATATCCAGTTATCCACATATATGTGTGTGTAGGCTATGAAGTAAAATATTCATTTTATAATGACACCAGGTCCCTCACCACCATAAAAACCTGAGAGTCACAGCTGTCGACCACTACTGCCCAAGTGTGTGCCATGAGACAGCAACTAGCTCTTTTTTAACTCGTTTAGAAAGCAATGAGATCCTGTGTCTCAAAGTACAGCATTAAAGAAACCTGTTATTTGTGTTGATCCCAGTTTCCTTTACATCGATTTTACCCCAGAATCCAGTTATTTTCCCGTATAATACCTACTGGTACCTTCAACATTTTGTGGTGCCTATGCTAGGGGCAAAACATTCCTCTAGATGAAAAAGAAGTGCAAGCTATGGAAGGTAGGCAGGCTTGTGACTTACAAGCTCTTTGCTATGAATCTTCCTGCCAAGAGCCACACCTCCAACTCACATCATGCATCCTTTTGTTTTTTGTTTTTTTTTTTTGAGACAGGGTATCCCTGTAGCCCCAAATGGCCTGGAATAAACCAGGCTATATAAATCAGACTAGCTTCAATCTCTCAGACATCTGCCTGCTTCTGCTGAGATTAAAGGCATGCGCCACCAAACCTGGCTTGTGCCACCACACCTGGCTTGTTCCAAGGCATTTTAAGTTTGATTTATCAGTCCCACTCCTTCATTTCTTATAGTTAGGGATCAAATCCAGGGCCTCACAAGGCTAGCTCACCACTGGGCCACACCCCGAGCCTTTCAGCTTTTAATCCACAAAAATCTTTTCAGGAAAAAACAAAACACAAAAAAGGCCCTCAGACACCAAGATATGAAGCCAGATCAAAGCAGTAAGCAGAAATCATGTGGCCAAAAGAAACTCTTGATGTGGTATCTAATACTTGCTTTAACAAATCATATGTATGCTCAGAAGGTAGCTAAAGACTTAGCTTCTCTAAGTAGAGTCAGTGTGTTCCAACAATGCATAATCTAAAACAGGCTGATGAGCATGTCAATCCTTATTACAAGCACTGATATCACTTGGAAGAAATGCAATGATACTTGGATTCTGGGTTCTTTGAAAAGTGCACACATAGACAGGATTCCTTTGGAAGGACATGATTCTCACTAATAATAAGAACTGTAACCATTATTGTCAGTTCTAATAATGCCTGGTATCACTTAGCAACAACATGAGAACCTCTGTCATTCATATCTTCCTAAGTATGAGTTATAAATACATCTTGTCACCAGAGCATAAAATGCAGTTCCCATCTCCCACCCCGAGGCTCCAACTCTGTCTCCTGAAACTTGTTTCCATTATTTTAACCAAGTTTCCTTGCTACCTTCCTGTTCTATAACTCTCCCCAGTAATTTACTATATACATCCTATCTTAACTGCATAAAACTTAGCTCTCAACATAACTGCCTGCCACACAGTCATCAGTACTTAAGAATCTTTAGAATTTCCCAGAGCATGGCATCACATATGAACTCACTAAATTGTCTTAATAACCAGGCTTTAGGGTAATAGCCAGTCCTAGAGAACTTACTGTATGTCAAGTCCAATGCTAAAAGTATACATGGATTATCTGATTCAATCTTCAGAACCCTATAAAAGTAAAAATGATCATTTCTCCCCATTGAATAGAGGAAAAAGTGAAGCTGGGTAATTTGCCCATGGTCATAAACCTAGTAAGTGGCAAACCTAGGGCCTGAATCCAGGCAAAGCCCAAAACACTTCAAAGTTCCAGACCTGAAATACCAGTCTATGAGGGACTTTGACTTCATAAAGTTAGAAGTTTCCATTTCAACATAGAAAACACTTTAGCTAAAAGACTTCAAAAAAGATGAAGTATAATCTCCCACAGATCTCTTTAAGTTACAATAAGTCAGAAGGAAAAAGCCTCCCAACGTCCTTTCTATTAATGAAAGTGTGACACTAAGGTGTAGGGTCACAATTTCATCAAGAGGGACCTTATGACAATTACTGCTTTGGTTTAGACTTAAATAGGCCTTTCTCTGGCCCTAAGACGATAAAGGAAATGACAGATAGGTTTAACAGCTATCGCTTCCCGGCTCCAAAAACCATGTCAGACCCAATTCTTGTAAAAAATAAGATTCACGGTTCCTGCTCCACCGCTGACTCTTCACACAAAGCAGCCCCATCCCCTCTGCCCTCTTCACACAAAGCAAGCTTTGCCCCTCTACCCAAAGGGAGATGCGATCACACGGCCTCTCCTGCCCTGCCATAAACAACCATCACACTCTAGTCCAAAACACTCGCGGCTGCTCAGAGGCAGGAGACTCTGGTATGTCCCCGCACCTGGTGTTATCTCTTCAGGCAGACCCCTCCCCACATCCCAAAATGCCCAGACCACCATCCGAAACCCGGTACTTCACACAAAGCCGGATCCCTTCCCACAAAGCAGCTTCCCACCTCCCTCTGAAGCTGTGCCAACCCACAGACCCCCAACTGGGGTCCAACACTCAGAGGTTCCACAACCCAGAGAACTGCAACATGCCCCTTTCCCAGGCCCGTCTCGAGTCTCCAACTCCGCCCGGTGTGCCCGCAGCCAAAGCCCGAGTCCCCGCCGAAGCCCAGCCCGCCGTCCGGCCCCCGGCCCCGCGCTCACCAGCTCTCCTCCTCCTCCTCCCAGCCGGACAGGCGCTCCAGCTCCTCGGGCCGCAGCGGCTCCACCTCGTCCAGCAAGCCGCCCTCGTCCGCCGCCAACAAGGTGGCGGCGTCCCGCAGGTCCTCGCTGCTCGTCCGCCGTGGGCCCGAGCCGACCCCGCTGGGCGCCTTGGCGCTCAGGCCCAGCGGGAAGCCCCGAGGGGACGCCGCGCCCGAGGAGGGGGTGGATACACCGGCCCGGGCCGGGCTGCCGGGCCCGAGGAGGCCTGTGCCCTGCACGGCTCCCGAGCGGCTCCTCAGCTGCTCGTTCTGCTTCTCCAGCTTCTTCACCAGCTCCTGCAGCTTCCGCACCTCCTGGTCGGCGTTCACGTTGGAGTTAACGTCTTCCATGCCGGCCCGCCGCCCGCTCCGACTCGCAGCCACAGGGAAAGCGCCGCGGAAGAGAGGCGTTACCGCGGCCGCTCACGCTAGCCTAGGCGCCGGCATAGAGCAGGACCAGGCCCCACCGCCAGGGTCCCCCCAGCTCGGGTTCCGAAGCGCCGCTGGTCCCAGCCAAGCCGCCTCATCTGCGCCGGCTCTGCGATTGGGGGAGGCGGCGCCAATATCCGGCCTCGGCCGCCATCTTCCCTTAGTCCCTCCGCCCCCTGCCGTCCAGCCCCGTCGGTGACCTCAGAGCGTCGTGGGGAGGACGTGGCCGCCCACGAGCGATGAAAGGACCAAGCGTGGGCTGGGGCGGGGCGGGGCCTGGCGGATGGGTCGCGCTGGGGGCGGGGCTACCGGAAGGGACGTGGTGGGAACGCAGGCGGAGGTGGGGCTCGCCAGGCAGGCCGTGGGACGTCGCTCCTCCGGCCCGCCCCGCCCCGCCCGGAGCAAGAAGACCCGGCTGAGATTGCGAGCCCGCCTCAGTCCCAGCCCTGCCTAAAAGGCGGGTGGTGCGTTCTTTACCCCCCTACACCGCCTGTGGGGCCGGACCTGCCCCCACTCCGGTCGGGTACGTGGATGGGCGGAGCCGCGTGCACAGTTCGTTTCGTCTTGTTTAGCAAACAAGAATTGGTTCCTACTTGAAATCGGAGATCGTCGGAGCTGGCAGGAGCCTCGGACACCATCTGTGGCCGAGTTCTTCCCCTGAAAATGAGAAACCCCAATCCGGAATGGTTGGGAGCGCTCTAAGGTCAAAATAATAACCATAATTTGAGTACTTACTACGGGCCAGACACTGTACTAAGCACTTTTAAAGGCATTATCTCATCGGTTAAAACACAGTTCTCTTCCATTTAAAGTTTACAGCACAAAGAAGGAACCGGAGTATAAAAAATCGCTTCTGGGTCTTTGAGCGTTAATGAATGCGTATTGTATTCTTTGGATCGTTTTTTTCCATCAAGACTTTTTCACGTGTCTTGACTTCTTTAAAAAGTTGTGTATTGAGGGGGCTGGAGAGATGGCTCAGCAGTTAAGAACACTGGCCGTTCTTGCGGAAGAGCCGGGTTCGAATCCCAGCATCCACATGGCAGCTAACAATTGTCACTCCAGTTGACGGCCTCTTCTGTCCTGCATTGGGCATTGCACGATACGGGTGTACTTGAAAGTGTACAAAGCAGCACGTTGTTGATGGTATGAAGAATGCTAAGGGATGATAACTGAAAAAAAAAAAAAAAAAAAAATCTCCTTTGGGGTCTGGGGGAAGGGGGTAAAAAACA